CAACCACAACAACTACAACTACTACAACAAGCACATCTACAACAACATCGACAACAACAGTCGGTCAGTAATATGCTTGATAATGGGTTGTACTTTTTGTAGCTTTCAAACCGTTGATTCGTTCCACTAACCAAAAAAAGTTTGAGATTTTATCGTTCAAATGTTTATCATTTCGATGAACAAATAACACTCGCCTGGAGATTAGCTCAGTTGCTTCTGGTAGGAATGTCATGTCTAGACATAACAAATTAGGGTGATTGTATTGTTAATACAGACTTACGGTGCGAGAGCTGACATTAAGAAAAATTGACATTGATTCGGACTTATCACTAACGATTCCATTAGCTCAAGTTTTAGATAAGACTTTCAATAGTAACATAGCGCTAGAGTATAATAACATCACGAGGATTTTGACAGGAAGAACTAGGCCTCGTTGTTATTGCCTTTCGTTTGGTTATTCCTCGCCGGCCCGTAACTAGTCTTCTCTACCTGTGTCCTTCATTTTTGTATTTCAGGATAGTTTTCGATTAATCAGAACGGGGTTGCACGGAGGCTATTGCATGCTGTACTTATAAACCATGCTAAACACTAGAAGTTTTATTGATTGTGATTAGTGTTCTTCCATATTTACTCTCCCAACTGACGTATCTCTCAAATTGAGTTGTTGTTTGAACAGTAATCGAATCTGATAATTACATCCATTTGTAGAGTAAGTAGTGGAGAACACAACTTACAATAAATAAAATGCGTACTGCTTAATTTGATCTAATAGTACAACATCTAGTAGATTCTGATATAATTCCGCTTTTAACTCCGTGCATACCTATGTCAAACACTGAAAAATAGTCCCGCAATAAAGCAAACGCATAACTTATTTTCGTTGAGCAGTTCTCGACGAGTACTAGGATAGAGTGTAAGTGCACAGTTAGTTGTACAATACTTGAAAAGTAGAATTTAGAATTTTGTAGAAATATTGTTGATTTATGTGACACAGAATTATCATATTGTTTATAGAATTCCATACTATAGTGCAATTTCAAAAAAAGAATGATATATATATATGTTGAAATGAAATTCTAGATAAATGTACAGAATGGCTGAGAACTGATTTTAGTCGTGCTCTAGAATATCTGAAATTTCTCAAAAATGCAGTAATATGATCCTTTCAAATAAATTATGTTCAATTAAATTAACCTCTCAAAGATTGAATAAAATACGATAATTAAATACTGTCTATATGCTAGTACAAATGTGAGAGGAAATTTTTTGTATTTAATAGGCTGCAGTATGTTTCTTAATCAAACTACTTACCCAGTTGGTCTTCAACCAATGTCAGTAACAGTCGTCGATGTGAATAGTGATAGCAAACCCGATATTGTTGTTGCAAACAGTGGCGATAACACCATTGGAGTTCTTCTCAACATAGGCAACGGCACTTTTCGTGCTGCAACTAATTACACAACAGGTAGCAATGCATTTTCAGTAGCAGTCGGCGATGTGAACAGCGACAATAAACCTGATATTATTGTTGCAAATTTTGGCGATGGCACCGTCCGTGTTTTTTTCAACGTTGGCAATGGTACTTTTACGAATGAAACTACTTACGCGGTTGGTAGTCTACCATATTCAGTAGTAGTCGCCGATGTGAATAGCGACAATAAATCCGATATTATTGTTGCAAACTATGGTTCGAACAACATTGGTGTTCTTCTCAACAGAGGCAATGGTACCTTTAATGCTCAAACTAATTACACAGCTGGTTTTTCTCCAATATCAGTAGCAGTCGGCGATGTTAATAGTGACAATAAACCCGATATCGTTGTTGCAAACAATGCCGGTAGCATCGTCAGTGTTCTTCTCAACACAGGCAGTGGCACCTTTAATGCTGCAACTAATTACACAGCTGGCCCTGGTCCTCAAGCAGTAGCAATCGCCGATGTGGATAGCGACAATAAACCCGATATTGTTGTTGCAAACAGTGGCGATAACACCGTTGGAGTTCTTCTCAACGCAGGCAACGGCACCTTTAATGCTCAAACTGAGTACTATGCTGGTAGCAACCCATACTCAGTAGCAGTTGTCGATGTGGATAGCGACAATAAACCCGATATTGTTGTTGCAAACTATGGTTCGACCACCGCCGGCGTTCTTATCAATGCAGGCAGCGGTACCTTTAATTACCCAACTGCTTACGCAGTTGGTAATACCCCATATTCAGCAGTAGTCGTCGATGTGAATAGTGATAATAAACCCGATATTATTGCTGTAAACTATGGTTCGCCGTATACCGTCAGTGTTCTGTTCCATTGTTAAGGTTTATCGATGACTAAATTTTATCTATTCTCTAACACTTTATTATTCTACTAAGTATATTACTCTTATAAAACATTACACAATACTGACTAACATTTATCTTCACTCTATATTAAGAAATTCAACAAAACTTTTCTGCTTTTTCATTTTTTTTCTGCTTTTTAAAATATTATCTGCTTTTCAGTTTTAACGCAGTTTCAGTTCTAATAAATCATTATTGCATACATATCCGATGAATTCTCAGTGATGTATATTGATGTTTTTTTGTCGTCTTTTGTTGTATAATGAGAACTAATAAGATGACGATCTCGGATTTCCAATAGTTAATAAAAACGATCAATATATACACCACTTGCTGAGACCATTCTTTAGCGATATTTTTCTTCCTAAAGTATTTTCTATCAATCATGCAAATATTTCAATTCATTGTATACAATCTTCTGTTTGTTGTTCGTTCTTGGTCAAGAATACAATAAGCTGTAATATTTGTACTTCGCAAAAAAAAATGATTGCTACTAATGATAGCCATACTGATCAAGACGAAGATAGTGAAGCATCAGTAACAACAGAGTGTATGTGAGTGGGTGTCCTATTTCATATAGTCCCACACCCACACCCTGCAATTTCTTTCTTTTTGTATCTCATTATTATAAAAAAAATACTACGATGTAATGTGTTACAGGCAACTTATGTGTGTTACAGTCTTATCTTAAACTATAGAAGAAGATAATAGCTTGGAAGCTTAGCAATAGTTCTTTTATTTAAGAAGAAACTCAAGTATTTATACGACAAGAAATGGTTACTTTAATTATTCTCGTCTCTTGTAGTACAATATATTCTAGGGAAAAATACTAAAGTAATATCGTTTGTTCGTTACTTGAAAATAACGCATTTTAATTTAAGTGAACAGAAAAGAAGAACAGGGACATAAGATGACAAAAGCAAAAATACTATACGATCATATATGTGCGAAGAGCGCGCCAATTGTACCGTTAGGTCCCGAGTAGAAAAATACTTATAACTCGGGTTCTACTCTATCAATTTTGATAATTTTTTCTTGTTTTTTAGCTCTAGAGATGCCTGTTCACTTCAGACAGAAATCATGTTTCTAGCGCTCATCATTTACTAACGATCTGAATAACAATACAAAACACGTAGTTTTTATCGTAACTCTCAGATGAGGATGTATTTTTTTGGCCCATTACGTTTCCTTTTAGACTTATTTTCTTACACTGTAATTTTTTTTAAATTCTATTTTTGTAGAAAATCGATCTTAAATAAGCACAAGCATTTCATAAGTTTATGATTTATTCATTGAATTTATAGAAATCAAATTTGATTTCCGAGAAGATTTATTTTCGTAAAAGTAGAAAACGAAACATGATTATAAATGAAACTCGAAAATCAACTTCGATTTGGAAAAATGTTTCATTTCTGAATTTCATAAAAGAAAAACTTTTATTTCAACGAATTATTTTTTCTATTTTAATCATCTAATCATTTCCATAAACAGTAAATTTTTATTCTGAATATTTTTTTAGGCCATCTGATTGTTACAACGAACATTACCTTTTTATGTAAACTAATTATTTTTTATCTTCTTTCGATCATCCGATCGTCCGAATGGTCAATGAAATTTTATTTTTCATAATTATTATATTTTCCAGTGGCGGATCTAGGATTTTGGAAGGAGGGGAGCGATAATGCTACTAATTTTTTATTACTTAAATTTCTTATTATTTTTTATTACTTTGCAAAAATTATTATTTATTACCGGTAATGGTAATGTGATAGCACTAATTAATACATGATGTTGCAAAAATGCTAGAAAGCTATTGTATAGATTTCATCCTTTCTATAAATGCACAAATAATTGATTTTCAGTTACTCTTTCCTAAACTTCAACAAACAGCTCATCTGACATAAAAATAAACCAAAATAAAAATTTAATTAATCAATCTGTCCCTTATATAAAATAGATTTTAAATCTGGACATTATAAATCTTAAAAATGTTATATGATACAATTATTACTTTCCAATTATATATGAAAATAGTTACAAAATGTTTGCATTTATCTATCAAAAAATAACCATTTTGAAATTTTTTATAATTGAAACACAATATAATTGTATGTAAAATAAGAGAAAAACATCGTCCAACTACAAGCTTTCACATGTGACTACCTTCGTGTGTTTCGTAAATGCAAGATGGACTGATTAATTACTCACATTTTGATTAACTACCTACAGTAACTATAAGCAATATGCATCACATATACGAAAGAAAAAGAAAAATATGCCTTGTCACTTCTAATTTGTTGCTTGCTTATTTTTCCATCATTTAAGCAAAAAGGAAATTTTACGCATGAATAAATTATCTATTAAAAAATAAAAAAATAAAAAACGTACTTAAAACGAAAAGGACATTTTATGCATGAATAAATCGTTTATTAAAAAAGTATTAAAGCGTATGCTTTTTGCATATTCGTTTAGTTATTAATTTTCATTTTTTTATAATTGCACCACGTATATTCGACTGTTCCTTTTCGATTTCTATTCTGCTTGGATATTACATTACGGTAATTTCTTCTCTACTATTTATATTTAGTTTATACTATTGAAACAACATCATTCATATTGAAAGATGTTAGTCTATTCAGAATTAAAAAGATTCTATCAATAGTAGGGCTGTCACATCATCATTACCGGTAATAAGTAATCATTTTTAACGTTATTATTATTACTAGTAATTACCAATAATTTTTGCAAAGTAATAAAAATAATAAGAAATTTTTTCGTAATGAGTAATAAAGTAATAAGACGGTAATAAGTAATGTTTTTTTATTACTTATTACTGATAATAGAATAATAAAATTGAAAAGGTAATAAAAGTAATTGTGATAAAGATTTAACAAACTACTGTATATATCGCTATTAAAACAACAAAAACAATGTAAGTTGTGATACTACATGATAAGCAATAAAATATTATTATAGTTAACAACTTACTGTTATAAAAAATAATGGTAATATGACACCCCTAGGGATACAAATGAACTGCTCTTCTTGATCTAGCCAGTCCAAACCTTGATTACACATTCGGTAACTTTTTCTATGCTTTAGGGCTGCGTCTTCAATGAGACTTGTCCTGCAGTTTAATTCAGTATTAATCTACATCCCTAATTATGCGTGGCTAGATATTAAGTTAGATACTGCACTCTCAATGACTGAACTCTTAATAAAACCGGTCTCTTCATTCTTATTATTGTTAACCCTAAATAGGCATTAAGTCAGATTCTATACTCTATGTGACTGGGTTCTCAATGAAACCGCTCCTGTCGTTCTTACGATTATTGATCCAGAGTGGATAATTAGTCAGATTCTGTAACCTACGTAACTGGGTTGTAAACTTTATTGGTTCTCCGCGTGCAACTGATTTTAAGCATCATTGAGTATTAATTCATATCGAGTTGACTTCTCTTCATCACTTAATTTTCATACACAATTTCATTTCAGATTTTTTTTCTTCATTACAAGACAACGTTCTTTCAATTGGCTTAAAGCTATGGCTCATTTAAACATAAGACCTTCTCGAACGTGAGTTTTGAGTATATTTGATGAATTTTATCATCTTCTAGTAATTATATAGGTTTTCTGTACTTGGCATTTTTGGATTAGCACTATTTGCCATAGCGTGCACAATTGTTCTTTCACTCATTCCACTTTACGTACCAAGAAAGGATTCGAACACCGGATCTGGAACGTTAATGGCCGTTAGTTAGTGTTTATTTATTGTTTTCATCTTACACATGCATAATCTTTTCTAGAACAATCACTTACTTCGTTGGATGTCGCTTACTTGTTGCCATCTGGATTAGTGAAAAAGCGCGCCACGCAATCCGTCACCAACCGGCAAACAACAGCCTCTTGCGTAATTTTTGTCTTTTATGTTAGCTCATAATATGTATTGTATTTTAGTTACAACAAGCAACCGGTGCTCCCACAGGTTCTGTCGCCGTCACCAGCATCAGCAGTGCACCCGCAACCAGCGCCAAAGGTCGACGTCGTCGCGAGTAATTTTCTTTTTAATTCATTTATGCTAGTCATATTTACCTATAACTTTACTCATAGTCTTCAATGCGATAAAACAGATCGATCAGGTGAAGCTATCGTCTTTAGTATTGGATTGAATTGTCCAAAACATCTACCATGCCAAAATTTGGCCTATCAAGTCGATCTCCTTACCAGTATTCATGAAAAATTCAATGCTGTAACCAATATCGATATGACGACTGATGATGGAAGCATATTACCCTTGGAACTTTGCCACGTTCAATCTTATCCCAACGGGAATAGTAACAGTGATAGTAGTTCCAATGGTATTGTTGTCGGTGAGTAGATTGATTCTCTTATCACTTCTTTACTAGCTTCGGCGCTTCTACATTGAACCAAGAAATTATTTTGAATAGTTTTCGATTCGAATAGCATTGCAAGATATATGTATAAATCTGAAATTTTATATGAGAAAAACACCAGTTCTAGATCAGATAGTGACTATTTTTATCGTGAATATTGAAAGAATATATGGATATATTTACGGGTAATAGAAGATATCCAAATGTGACGCTCCGTTTTTAAGTTCCATGATTCAGGCATGTTATAGTGTAAAATCCAAATCTAAAACTTTTAGAGTTTGAGAATTTAAACTTTGATTCTTCTACCAAAATCATGTTTCGTCGAAATAGTTGAGATAGAAATAAGTGTATGAGAAGATAGCTATTTTTGAACAAATATAACTTACAAATGTATGCTTATTCTTTTCAGAACCGTGTTCAGTCGATTGTCAAAATGGTGGTGTATGCACAGGTCCCACAACTTGTGCATGCATTACGGGATGGAGTGGTGACACTTGTACAAACGGTGACGTAAATTCAGAGTTTGATGGATTCTAATAATTTCTATTATTTCTTTCAGCTATATGCACAAATGGCTGCCAAAATGGTGGCCAATGTACCGCTCCTGATACTTGTACATGCGCTGCAGGATGGAGTGGTGCAACGTGTACACTAGGTAAGTAATATTTAAGTTCGAGATATTTTCTATGATTTCTATTCTTGAGGGTTATGATGTAAGAATGTAGATGAGAATGTGCACTGGTATTAGTTTAGATATTTTATAGAAAACTACATAATATAATGTAAGATTTATGGAGGAATCTATTTATTATCATAGTAATTGTAACAATAAACAACAGTACTATATTTTTGATTCATCATTAATAGTAGTTTTTTTCATGAGTTTCAGCATATGTAAAAGCTATTACTATCTCGAAAACTTTCATATAATGATATTATTTGAGTTAACGTATAAGATTTTAAAAGACTATAGCACTAAATTGATGCTGTACCAAATGATTTGTTTCAGTTGTTGTAATAGAAACATAATCATAAATAAGCATTGTCAACGAAGAAAGACAGGAAAATCCATGTGAGTGTATTTAAAGAGAGATATACAGAGTGAAATAAAAGTCATTGTACCGAAAAAAGAATTGAATATTTCCATTGCGGTTTAAGTAGACGAGCTGACTTTTCTACCAACGGAAGAAGTATATCCAATCTTTATATTCATAAGGAGAAGATTTCATTCAGTCTTTTTGCTTTATACAGAATTGACAATCACAACCACAACGACGACAACTACAACAAAAACAAACACAACATCAACAAATGCAACAGCAACAAATGCAACAACAACAAATGCAACAACAACAAATGCAACAACAACAAGTACAACAGTAACAAATGCAACAGCAACAAATACAACAACAATAAGTATAACAGCCACAACAACAACCAGAGATGGAACCGGTCCGGTTTTTTGACGACCGGTATCGGTACCGGTCTAAAACTTTTAGACCGGACCGGACCGGCCGGTCTACCGGTTTGACCGGTCTAACGGTAAATACCGGTAGACCGGCAATTACCGGTAAGAAACCGGTAGACCGGCAAGTACCGGTAGACCGGTACAGACCGGTAGACCGGCAAGAAACCGGTAGACCGGTAAAAATCAGTAGTGTAAAAGTTGTTAAATCGATTCGACTTGAACGGATGTTATACTAGATTTGACTGCTAACAACGTTCATATTTTATCTCCGTAGGGGGGTACAGATAAGTTTTCGGAAAAAAAAATTATTTTTCGGGAAAAAAGTTTTTAGCAGAAAACAGGGCAGCAAGAAACCGGTAGACCGGTAAGTACCGGTAGACCGGCAAATACCGGTAGACCGGTAAGAAACCGGTAGACCGGCAAGTACCGGTAGACCGGCAGACCGGTAAATACCGGTAGAGTTACCGGTCTAAAGTTCGGACCGGTACCGGACCGGACCGGACCGGACCGGACCGGACCGGCCGGTTGCCGGTACCGGTTCCATCTCTGACAACAACTACAACAACTACAACAACAACTACAACTACAACAACAACAACATCTACAACAACAACAACTACAACTACAACTACAACTACAACTACAACAACAACAACAACAACAACAACAACAACAACAAGTACAACAACCGCAATTAACCCTAGTTGTAAGTACTTTATTAAATTGCATGTGTATCTTATGTCTGCTTGAAAAAGAGTGGCTTTATGAGATATTGAAAAGCGAATTATGAAACTGAAAGTAAGAGGCGAAATAAAGTCAAATATTATTTGTCTCAATTGGTTTTCAATAGTGTTTATCTGAATAGAGTGGAATATAGAAAAATCGTAACTATTTATATAACATATTAACTCAGAACTGAATGAAATAAAACGAAAGGATCTCATATATTATTGGAAAAACATATGAAATATGGGATAGGAAAAGAAAAGAACGAAAAAAAGTGATAGCTATAGCGAACATATATTTATATGTAAGAAAAGAAAGAGAACGAATACATGAATAGTACTTATATTATGATTTACCTTATGTTAAGTTGAAAGTACGTGCTATAACATTCAGGTTGAGAATATGTTTTCTTTTATAGGCATCAACTTGCTTGTAAATCCCGGTGGAGAAGATGGTGTGCTCACGCCTTGGGTCGTGGGTGGCAGCTCAAATCCACAACTAGATAGTGGCACGTTTGATATTGGTTTCGGTCCTCGCACTGGATCATATCAATTTGTTGGAGGGACTGGTTCGTCCGGCACGCTCACACAGACCATTGTCATTATGACTGCAAGTCCATCGATCACAGCATCGCAGATCGATACAGGTACTCTTAACGTCACTTTGCTCTTCTGGACTCGTGACCTTATACAATTGCTGAGCAACGACGGTGCTGCAGTGGCCTTGTCCTTTCTCGATGCTTCCAATGCTGTTTTGAGCACTGTCAACAGTCCCGAGCAGACAGGTGGTATTCTTTGGACCTCATACTCAAATTCATACCCTATTCCTGCTGGAACGCGATCAATCCAATATCAAATGGTGTTTACTCTACACAGTGGCTCTACTATAGATTCGTTTATCGATGACAACTCTATGACAATCTGCTAATACATTTGCTTCTTCTCGAATAATGAACTAAATCTGCTACGTATTGTAGTATCAAACCAAAAAACAATACAAAAAATCTTAAATTTGTCTCTTCAATAGAATTTTCTTCATTATATTTTATAAAATTTCTGTCGATACAAGATGTGAGGTATGGAAGCGTAGATTATGAGTGATTGATTAGTGAAGTGAAACGAACAAGATAGTCCATTAAATGCTTTTGCTCGTTTTTTTTCTCTTTTCCTATTTCAATTTTTTTTGTATGTGTGCATCAACCAGTGTTCTTTTCAATTGTTAACAGTATTGCGACCTCTTCTGCTTTAAACAGAAAATTTCTGCTTTTATTCTATTGCTTCTGCTTTTTGAAAGTTTTTCTGCTTTTCTTCTGTCGCTCTGCTTTTTGGGTTTTTTCTGCTTTTTAAATTTTTTTGTCTTTTTCTTTTATATTTTCAATAAAAATTCTCAATATTTTAACTGATCATTTTGTCAAAATAATCATTTAACACACAGTCAGATTGTAAGATCCGATTAACTCTGGATGTTATTACTTTCTCTTACTCCATCACCAGATTTTAAAAAACTATTATGGTTTTTATTTTCATTACCTTGCAATAATACTTATGTTGAATCTGTATTTTCTCATAAATGAAACATTTAGTAAATGACAAGCGGAACTGTGTGACAACAGAATTATAAATACGTTGGAATGCCACTTTAAAATGTGCTGATATATACAAGTATATCTTATCGACCCAGGACATGTTGAAAGCTATTAGGTCAGATGAAAAATATACGTTTAAAAAAAATGTTCAGTAACTGTATTTGTCTCTGTTTAATTTTGTGCACTAGAATATAAAATATAATGCCAAAATTTCTTATTATTTTATTTCGGCTGGGCTTAAACCATAGTTTGATATTAAAAAACACCTTCCGTTTTATTTCTGCTTTTCGAAGGACAAAAATTGGCAATACTGATCGAGTTCATAATAATTGTATCACATCAAGTGCTTAATTTTGTCTTCTTTAATTTTTGAAAATGTCTTCACATAAGAGAAAGTCTACAAAAGTATCAATAATTATTGTTTAAATTATACTGTCATGTGTAAAACTAATTTGAGAAGATGAATTGAAGTAAGGACAACAAAGAAAATAATTTTATAAACAGGATCTATACTATTCTAGATACATAAGCATTTATCCTAATAATCAAATATATAATAAAATATGAAATTGACTTTAATCGAACATAGAAAATTTTGTTAAATTATTTTCCTTTTTGAAACGATAGAATAATTAATAATGAACTTGTTGATTTATTATTTTTTTATCAGCCTTCTGATGTACGTCATATGTTTCTTGCTTGACGTCAGATAATCTTTTAAGATATAATTATTCATTAGTAAAATCATTCGTTGTCATGATCTGATTATAAGAAGATTGTTTAGCTCATTTCATGCTAAAAGTATATTATTATCTAACTATAATAAGTTTCATATATCTTGCTATAAGTTACTATTTATAAAGAATTTTGATAATTCTTTTTTGCATGAGTAGAATATTATATATGATCATTAGATAAAAACTATTTATTTTTCTTTAACATTCTATCTCTAGTCAGTTTTCATTAAACATATCAATGAATCAAACATTTAATTTAAATCTAACAGAAACGAATACTACTTCATCATTAATTATTTTACTTCGATTTGAAATTTTTGCTGCATGTTTAACGTAAGTAATCTTCGATTAATTTTTTTATAGTATTTCTCTTTGTTGAATAGATATGGTCTTGGATTTATTGGTAATCTATTTGCTTTGATTGTTTTTTCTTCATTATTAGAATTTCGTAGAATATCAACTGGTATTTTATTTCTTCTTATGACAATATCAAATTTTTTTCATTTATGGACATTAGCAATAGATTTCCTTGGTATTTGTGGTTATTCTATATATTCAAATATATATCTTCAATGTCATCTCAGTCCATTTGTTGAAAATATTAGTCGAGCAATGAGTACATATTTTTCAGTTGGTATTGCTGTTGATCGTTTTATTCGTTCAGAAATGCCATTACGTTCAAAAATGATATGTACACGAAAGAATATTTTTATAGTGACAATTATTATTTTCATTATATTTTGTTTATTTTGGTCATTTTATTTATATCCATTTAGTAGTCAAATTTTAATTACAGGTGAATGTATTTATAATCAATCAATAAGTTTTGAATTTTTTCTTGTTAATATACATATACCATTACGAGCAATATTCTTTTGTCTTATACCAATTATTATAATGACGGCATCAAATATTCGTATGATGAGTAATATTCGTCAAGCACGAATGCGTGTTAGTGATATTCCACACAACAATGATGGATATAAAAGTAGTACGATTATTTCATCAACAGCTATTAGTGGACCAGTAGGTCGTCGAACATTAGCAATTGATCGAATGCTTTTACTTATGATGGCAGCAAGTGTTTTAACATTTATTATAACACAAATTCCATTTCATATTTATATGGTAGTACAAGTTAATATTCATACATTCAATAGTTATACTGATTCATTAATCTATAGTATGCTTTTAATATGGTCAAGTATTTACTTTGGTATTGCATTTTATTTATATTGTTTAGCATCACCATTATTTCGTAGAAAATTTATACGAATAGGCAGAAAATTAATAAATTGTCAATTAATTCATCATGTAACAACATAAATTTAGTTTTGTCTTCCTATATGTAAAACAAATTTTTCTTTCATTATTGAATAATATTCATTAACTAAGTTAATCATAACAGGAAAGATGGCATATTTAATATAAAGAAATTTATTGATAAACAAAATATCTATCTTAACAAATCAAACCTAAAGAATTTCATGTAATACTATTATGTTTTAGAACTATCGTCTTTGCTGATGTATTCGACAATAAATAATATTCTTAAGTATTCTAAAAAGTGATTCACGAAAAAGTGGCGATGCAAAACAATATAAATAAGATCCAAAACCAAAATAAATACTTGACCAAATCAATACCAATGCACGAACTAATAAATTATCAAGTGTACTTAAACCTCTGTAATAAGTTCGTACAAGGGTATAAACTTGAAACGGAATTTGTGTTATAATAAATGCACTAACATTGACTAACATCATATAGAAAAGCATTCGATCAAGTGATGTCATACGTTGTCTCATCGATCCACCAGGAATTACATTGATTTCATTTCCTTGTGTAACACGTCGATGAGATTGTCTGATATTAAATAACATACGTATATTAGCTAAACTCATAATAATAACAGGAATAATACAAATAAAGATTAATCGAAGAGGAAGAAATATATTACTAAAAAAATACGTATATGCTGATGGTGGACCAGTATAACAAACACCACCTATTGGACTTAATGTATTCAATGGACAGAACCAGAATGAATGAAGAATTGAAAAAATAATACAATAGAATATAGTTAATTTAATTGCATTTTCACGTGTACATATAAATCGTGACCGTATTGGTAATTCGGAACGAATTAATCGATCACATGTAACAGTAATTGCTAAATACGTACTAATTGCTCGACTAACATTTTGTATAAAATAATTAAGACGACATTGTAAAAATACATCCGAATAAACATAGATATTAAATGTACCAAGAAATTCTGTTGTTAATGTCCATAAATGAGCAGTATTTGATACAGTCATAAGAAGAAATAAAACACCTGTAGAGACATTTCGAAAATCACTTTGTGTAGAGAAAATAAATAATGATAATAGATTACCAATAAAGCCAAAACCATAACTGAAATAATTTCGATAAAAAATTTTCAGACAAAAAAAAACTTCTTACGTGATACAAGCTGCAATGATTTCAAACCGAATAAGAATACTGATCGATGATTTAATTTCCAATAAAGAAGTAGAAGTTATTGTCATACTTGTTGTACTATTCCATGGAATGATTGATGTTGTCTTAATCTTAGTCATCGATATCTTGTATATATATTATATAAATATGATTTTCATTGAAAATCTAAAATATATTATACAGTTAATATGTTAAATTATTATTAAGCTTTTATAAATTTGACATTGTCAAGCATATCATCATTAAAGTATAAAACTCCCACAAATACTAATTAGTTCTTCTCATTTTTTTTTGATACTAATAAATAAAGACATATTCGAACTCATTAGTATATATCTGCTTAAAATTTTATTTTGTTTGATTATAAAACTGAATCAATATTGTCAAACTATTTCCAGTAAGATGTTTATGTAATACAATTAATGATAATAATTTGATGTTATCAACAGAACTAGCTTTTAAAATTCTTTTTATACGATACTTAGAGCATACTCGTAGATTGTTGGTATCATATTCTAAAAAAATAATAAGTAGGTTAATTATTATAATATACAAAACAAAAATGTTTAATACTTAACTACTTTTTCTTTCAAATGATTCATTTGAACGATCGTATTCTTCTATAAAGAACTTAGAATTGCATGTGAAATTCTCTTATCGTGCATCAATGGTAAATCCTTTACTTTTGTGCGTTTATAAGTATCATAAATAAAATGGCAGAGAATATATTTATTTTGATAGAATAAAATGAAATGAAAAAGACATGTTAGCATTCTTGATTTCAAGAAAACGGGAAATTAAAATAGATCACATGGTCTTTTATGAAATAGTTTGTTTCTATTATCGATAGTCGACCAATTAAACGAATAAAATCGTTTCGAAATTTTCTTAGACATATTCTATAAATTGAAAGAAAGGGTGGTTGTGCGTGTGCGTGCAAGTGACAGGTATGGATCCACATTCATACTCATACTCACACCCACACCCTTACAGAAAGTTGGACTAACTGGAATCACATAATCAGAACTATCGAACTGTAGAGAAAACAAAGTTTCTTTTATCAACTTAGTGAAGTATGTTGCAAGTAGGATCGATAGAAAATGCTACAGTGTAGCATATCAAAGTATTGCTATGCTTACTAGAGTATGTTGAAGACACTGAATATGAAATTGATCTAATTCAATTAGCAACA